AAAGGCTCTGGAAATTCAAAAACAATCGTTAGGTCCAAATCATGTTGTTGTCGCTGCGTCTTTAAACAATCTTGGAATGATGTTTGATAAAACTGGAAACTACGACAAAGCTATACAGTTTTACGAAAAAGCTCTGGAAATTCGAAAGCAATGGTTAGGTCCAAATCATGTTGATGTCGCTGCGTCCTTAAACAATGTTGGTAATGTACTTCATACAACTGGAAACTACGACAAAGCTATAGAGTTTTTCGAAAAAGCTCTGGAAATTCAAAAACAATCGTTAGGTCCAAATCATGTTCATGTCGCTGGGTCTTTAAACAATCTTGGTATTGTGCTTAAAAAAACTGGAAATTACGACAAAGCTTTAGAGGTTCACGAAAAAGCTCTGGAAATTCGAAAACAATCGTTAGGTCCAAATCATGTTGATGTCGCTGCGTCTTTAAACAATCTTGGTATGGTGTTTGATAAAACTGGAAACTACGACAAAGCTATAGAGTTTTACGAAAAAGCTCTGGAAATTCAAAAAGAATCGTTGGGTCCAAATCATGTTGATGTCGCTATGTCTTTAAACAATCTTAGTAATGTGTATAGTAATACTGGAAACTACGACAAAGCTATAGAGTTTTACGAAAAATCTTTGGAAATTAAAAAACAATCGTTAGGTCCAAATCATGTTGATGTCGCTGCGTCCTTAAACAATGTTGGTAATGTACTTGATACAACTGGAAACTACGACAAAGCTATAGAGTTTTTCGAAAAAGCTCTGGAAATTCAAAAACAATCGTTAGGTCCAAATCATGTTCATGTCGCTGGGTCTTTAAACAATCTTGGTATTATGCTTAAAAAAACTGGAAATTACGACAAAGCTATACAGGTTCACGAAAAAGCTCTGGAAATTCGAAAACAATCGTTAGGTCCAAATCATGTTGATGTCGCTGCGTCTTTAAACAATCTTGGTATGGTGTTTTATAAAACTGGAAACTACGACAAAGCTATAGAGTTTTTCGAAAAAGCTCTGGAAATTCAAAAACAATCGTTAGGTCCAAATCATGTTGATGTCGCTATGTCTTTAAACAACTTTGGTAATGTGTATAGTAATACTGGAAACTACGACAAAGCTATAGAGTTTTACGAAAAATCCTTGGAAATTAAAAAACAGTCGTTAGGTCCAAATCATGTTGATGTCGCTAATTCTTTAAACAATCTTGGTACGGTGGTTTATAAAACTGGAAACTACGACAAAGCTATAGAGTTTTTCGAAAAAGCTCTGGAAATTCAAAAAGAATCGTTAGGTCCAAATCATGTTGATTTCGTTAATTCTTTAAACAATCTTGGTACGGTGTTTGGAAAAACTGGAAAATACAACAAAGCTATAGAGTTTCACGAAAAAGCTCTGGAAATTCTAAAACAATCGTTAGGTCCAAATCATGTTTATGTCGCTGCGTTTTTAAACAATCTTGGTACTGTGTATTGTAAAACTGTAAACTACGACAAAGCTATAGAGTTTCACGAAAAAGCTCTGAAAATTCAAAAACAATCGTTACCTCCAAATCATGTTGATGTCGCTACATCTTTAAACAATCTTGGTACGGTGTTTGTAAAGACTGGCAACTACGACAAAGCTATAGAGTTTCACGAAAAAGCTCTGAAAATTCAAAAACAATCGTTAGGTCCAAATCATGTTGATGTCGCTACATCTTTAAACAATCTTGGTTATGTTCTTAATAAAACTAGAAATTACGACAAAGCTTTAGAGTTTTTCAAAAAAGCTCTGGAAATTCGAAAACAATCGTTAGGTCCAAATCATGTTGATGTTGCTTGGTCTTTAAACAGTCTTGGTAATGTGTATAATAATATTGGAAACTACAACAAAGCTATAGAGTTTTACGAAAAAGCTCTGGAAATTCGAAAACAATCGTTAGGTCCAAATCATGTTGATGTCGCTCAGTCTTTAAACAATCTTGGTAGTGTGTATTATAATACTAGAAACTACGACAAAGCTATAGAGTTTTACGAAAAAGCTCTGGAAATGAAAACACATTCGTTAGGTCCAAATCATGTTAGTGTCGCTGTGTCTTTAAACAATCTTGGTTTGCTGTTTTATAAAACTGGAAATTACGACAAAGCTACAGAATTTCACGAAAAAGCTCTGGAAATTCGAAAACAATCGTTAGGTCCAAATCATGTTAATGTCGCTACATCTTTAAAAAATCTTGGTAATGTGTTTAATAAAACTGGAAACTACGACAAAGCTATAGAGCTTCACAAAAAAGCTAAGGCAATTCGCAAAAAAAAACTTTAGGAACTACTCAGGTTGATGTCGCTAAGTCTTTCAAACAATCTAGGTGTGATGTATTATGAAACTCAGGAATATGATAAAGTTTTACTATTACACTTTGGTAGCTGCGTGTTTCAAAGAAAATTGTATCTTCCAAATTGTGTTAAGCCTATTTTTAACACATACACTGTAGGAGCAAGTCTTCCACCTGCCAAGTCAACTCCCCTCTCCCTCAGAAGGTATTTTTGGTACTGAAGAAAACAATTTCAGTTTGCACTTTATGAGGTAAAATGAGCCTAAAGATGTAATGGTCTTTGTCTATATATAGTTTCACTGATATCTAGTTAATTAACTTACTCTACAGCCCAGGAATCATCTAAGTTGAACTTAGAACTGCCCATGCCTTGAATCTGAGATTCTTCTTTAGACTTTATTTCTAAAGTGATTTGTTTTTATGCTATAACCAAGTAGTAATTTTTATTGTATGATTCACAAACGTACTAAAGTAAATTGGGATGACAGAATTTTATGACATAAATTTTGTTAAATAAATACTATCCTGTTAGTTTTTCATATTCTTTGATACATTCAGTAGTTTTTTACCCAGCTCCATAAGCCTATGACCATATTCCAGGTTCTTATAATTTCCAAGGGGTACACTTTTTATACCATATATACTACCCCACCATGCTGCAGCCAATATTCCTGTACTGTCACTATCTCCACCATGAAACATAGAACAAGAACACAATTGAAACCAGGAATCTTTTGCCATCATCAAAGCATCGTAAGCAATCATTGGTGCATCATGACCACTGGACCCACCCCAACCTGCATAACTCACAGATTTATAAAAAGCATCACGTTCAGGTATGTTATAATTCACTGGAAACTTTGGTTCACTGTTTCCATTGGTTAATTCCTGTAGTTCAAGATATGACTCCCAACTATTTTTAAAGTAGCCCCAATATTTCTTGTTTTCTTCTATATCGCGACCAACCTCCTCAATGTATTCCCAAACTTTGGGTAAAACACTTAAAAGTCCTGCTCCCCATTTTTTTGGAGGTATCTTCTGTATAGCAAAGGCTGTAAATAAAGCTGCAGTAACAGCCCCAAGATAACCTAAAAATAAAATCATTGTCTTTAAAGATTGCTAATTTTAGGTCACTTACATTATGATGACCATATTTACATAATAACGGCATTTTGACATGAATCATGGATTCAATGGCTGTAGTAGTGAAGATATAAAAGCAAGAACAGAAATGGCAATTCATACAGCTTTTAGAAGACAGAAATTTGGAAATATGGGAAAGCGATAAAAAGGATGGATCAAAGTTATGGTCAATAAAAGCGAGAATGTTAGAAGGATGGAGGATTTGAGATGTGGTTCTGGAAAATGGTGGATTGCATAGACTTATGCAAACCTAAGGTCTTTTATTTCATTTATAAATTGATATTAGATAAAAGGATATGAAACATTCATGGTAATGGCTTCTTCAAGTAAGTAATCGAAGGAAGAGTTGAAGGTAAAACATCTAAGAAAAGCAAAAGGATTGAAAACCTAAATCACTATAAAGGTTTGACTAAACGAAAAGAAATGCAGATAACAGGAAAACTTAGCAAACTGTATACCAAGCAACACTTGTTGATAGACAGAACATTAGACAGTGACTTGATAATTGATACATGATCTGAAATCATTGCTTTATTATGAAAGGTGAATACCTGTAGGGTGATTATGAGTCATCCTTCCACTTTCAACAGCAATTTCAATTAACATTTCAAATTGATCTTCACAAGGAAACATCAAACCTATACACATGGATCTCATAGCTGCACCACATCCGCCACCTCGTTCATTAAATGGTATAATGTAACCTTTTTCCTCAGGAGGTCGTAACATGAAACATGCCTTTGTTGTGGTCTGCCCAGGAGCTCTTTCTCACATATCCTCAGCACATGTCTTCTTGTACTTTGTAGCCATAATGCTCAATAACTCTTCCGTTGTTGTCCATTCAGAAACCAACGCTTCTGCTGTAGCAATGTGTAGTACAGTGTCGTCACTAACCCTCCATCCTTTAATGTCAATTTTATCAAGTCCTCCGAGTTTTTCTAGTTCTTGATGAATTTGAGTACCACTGTAACAGAATTCCCACAACCCATTCTTATAACCTAGAGCATCCCCCACTCCACTGAGAACTATATCTGCTTCGTATTTCTCGCATAATTCGACCGTATTTTCATAAGCCATTTTTAATGTTTACTTCACTGTAGTTTAATGAATGCTTAACGTGGGTTTTTGAAACCCGGAAAACACCAGGCTTACCTCAACTTACAAAAACAAAAATCTCTCCTTTGCCTTATTTCAACATTGTTTCAAACTATTCTGTTTAGATTTAGACGAGAGCGTTGGGAGACTGGGAGGGTTATTTTGAAATCATTAATCTTTACCCGATTCTATGATCTTCAATCTGATTAATATGTTGCTTGTTGGAAAGATACCTTAAAATTTAAAAGTTCCCTTCCTTAGATTATGGATTGTCCGACAAGGATTTAGTACAAACTTCACAAAATTTCACAGAGAGTAAATTTGATAGCTCTTGGTAAATTCTGGCACATCCCATTGTTATAAATATGCCACTAAAATTTAATACTGTTACTGCATTAAGATTTTTTCTCCCTTCACCCATAATATACACAACAAAATCACAACAGTACATTGAATTGTGCATCAAAATTATTGATTGATTTACAATGTCTCATAAGAATTATATATTCCACATGACAGCTTTCACATGAAGAGAGACCTAAATGAACATAAAAATTAAACTTAAAATCATAAACAACTGGACAGAGGGGGTAAGTATGAGCGATAATGAAGAGAGAAAGAATCTGACAAAATATGGCCTAATTTGGGCATACAAGGGGGTGGGGGTCAGAGAAGTGGAATCTATGAACTTAAGAAAATGAAGACACGGGATTTTTTAATATACCAATAGATATGAGAGTGTAGATGGCTCACTATTCACACTGTGATTGACAGAAGTTTCTCACCCCAGTCCTAATCCTCATCTTCATCTTCACCAGCGGATCCACCTTGTCCTCCTTTCTTCATGTTCTTACGTTTTACACGACCAGGTTGACCACCACCATATGGTGATTTAGAACTAAAATCAATGTGTTTCTGCGAATCCAAACGTACAATATAGAAAGGCACGTTGACTAACTGTTCACGAACCCTGAAATCAAAGATGGGCACGGTTGGCCAAAAACGCTTTCAGCTCGTCAGAACAGCAAGAATTTCTCCACCTTTTACAGCAAGTAGCAAGATCAACACATCAAAATCAGTTCAACGATGCATTGTAAGCACTTCGAAGCTCATCAGTTTATGATAAAGCCCATATCCAAAGCTACGTTGGAAACACATGGATGACTTGCAAAGAACGGTGGGCTCAAATTTTCAGAAAGCAACAAACTGTTAATATAGTGAACACCAACAACGGCGTCGAATCGCAAAACAGGCACTTTAAGTAAAATTATCTTCCAAGAGCTATCGACAAATCAATATATGTTGTAGTTACAATAATGATAGAGTCATCTCTTCCAGACTCTTATCAGCACTACAAAGACACCAACTTCAAACAAAGCAGCCAATACAGAAAGTGCAACAAGAATGCTCCATACTATTTGCATAATCGCCCAAACCACTTTATCAAGAACTGTATGAAAAAATCATTGCATCGCGCAAATTTCGGGATAATGATGTTGATTGCATCGACAATAATAAGCTTCTGGGAATCATTTTAGATGAAAACCTAAGTTTTTCAAATCATATTGATAAGCTATGTTCCAAATTACCTAAACGAATTGGCCTTCTTAAAAAGTTAAGATATTATCTACCATTGGATGAACACATTGCGTTTTATAATGCCACTATTAAATCTTCTATGATGTTTGGTAGCTGTGTTTGGTCAAATACAACAAAAGATAACTTGGATCAAATTATAAAATTACAAAGGAGAGCAGCTCGCGTAATTCTACATGCCTCAACACGCGATAGGAGTATTCCACTCTTTTCCAATTTGGGTTGGATACCTTTTGGTAAGGAAGTGGAAATTAGAAAGGCCATGATTTGTCATAAACGTTTCTATGGTAACTGTTCATCTTATAGTATTGATATTTTACCAACAAATGCCAGTCGCCACAATAGAAATACTCGTTATAGAGACTTAACTATTTGTTTACATAAAATAAAGAGACAAAATGATGGTGGGAGATCTTTTGCAGCTACTGCAAGTCGATTTTGGAACAGTTTACCTTTAATATGCGTAAGCTTTCATCAGCTACACTTTTTAAAAAGAAACTTTATGATAAAGCTAATTCAGATATGCTCACAAAATAATTTATTGTTTAGTTTTTTTAGTAATATAGTCTTATGTAATTCTGGTTTTTAAATTTTAATTGATCTCTTAGTTTGTTAGTTTGAGGGCCACAAGTTTTTCTCACTTGTTGTATCACGTGTTACCCTCTTTTAATAAAGTTTCATCATCATCATCATCATGGGTACAGACAGCAAATTTCTCTTCAGCTCATGCAGATAGAGTACGTAGAATATTCATATATATTGGATATATTGTATAAAGTTGCTTTGAAATTTATAATTTTTAGCGAATTATCATATGCATAATGCATTCATGAATTTTTCCTCCTGCCAAATATCGTTCTTAAGACGCACTGCAACTGTGATTTGTTGTTAAAGCAATTTTCCATTGAATCATTTGTTCTTAATGTCATGATATTGAATAGTAACTCATGTTTGCAAAAAGAAATAATGAATGAACGTTTACCTAAATGTTACAACATTTAGTTTCTCTGAAATCTAATAAATTTGGCAGCTAAAATAACAAACTGTAATGAGTACATAAGTAAGATTTAAGTCACAAATTAGCTAAAAGGTTGTGAACTTCTTCCAAGGTGACTTAGAATTTGTCATATGAATGTTTTATGCAGTGCGGTATTTGAAATTAAATGAAGAAATGATCTTCGCACTTTTGCTGGACAATTTAAGCAATCGTCTCAGGACCTGAAAAAATCAGGTGACTCAACGTGATTCGAGCCCATGACCTCTGCGGTGCCGGTGCAGTGCTCTGACCAACTGAGCTATGAAGTCACACAGTGGCGAGCAGGTCAATATTGTTGGGCTCATGTTTTCTCGTGAGAGGAGTGTCGTGAGAGAGCCACTGTGTGACTTCATAGCTCAGTTGGTCAGAGCACTGCACCGGCACCGCAGAGGTCATGGGTTCGAATCCCGTTGAGTCACCTGATTTTTTCAGGTCCTGAGACGATTGCTTAAATTGTCCAGCAAAAGTGCGAAGATCATTTCTTCATTTAATTTCAAATACCGCACTGCATAAAACATTCATACGACACTCCTTTCACGAGAAAATATGAGCCCAACAATATTGACCTGCTCACCACTGTGTGACTTCATAGCTCAGTTGGTCAGAGCACTGCACCGGCACCGCAGAGGTCATGGGTTCGAATCCCGTTGAGTCACCTGATTTTTTCAGGTCCTGAGACGATTGCTTAAATTGTCCAGCAAAAGTGCGAAGATCATTTCTTCATTTAATTAGAATTTGTCAATAGTTTTTCTGTACGTTTCATAATGGCATCGAACAAACTGACAAATCATCTAAATATAGAACTTACCAATTTGAGAAATATGTCTCACGAAAGCACAAGCAATATTGCCGAAATTTCTAAATTGTCAACGATGGTATTGTCGAAACAGCGAATTTATGTGGATGGTTGTTTATCGGACAATATTTCGAGCTGTTACTGATGGTTTTTACATACATGCACCTATAAGATCCTCGCTATATTTAGTCAATTTATAAATGATTATTTGCTTTTCGATATATCTCTATTGTTGTCGTAAAAATCTCAATGGTTTTTATTGATGCTACTGATTTTTGGTTTGATTTTTCATTGAAGGATTACTTATTGTCTTTATGAAAGTTGACAAGCTCCTAAAGGGGCCAGTCAAATAAAAACATTTAGCCATGACATCAATTAAAGAATTATTAACATATTTAAATTCGTGTGTTTTAACTTAAGCTTCAACGGAAAATTGGTCTCTTTCACTTTGTAGAAAAAAAGGTAAATTCTGTTTTTTTACTGTGTAAGTAAGTATGAGTTACTTGGAATAATCAACTAGTCTTAGTGTTGTCCTCGAAATCCAATTATGAAAGCTCTCACTGTAAAATGCTTTGATCACAATGTTAAGCCTTTGATCGTTTGAAATTTCTTGTTGCATCGTTCAAACTCAACTGACTAAAGATATTCGTGCAATGTAGGTGAATGTTCTACCATTTGGATAGTCCAGCAGAAAATGCATTACAATTGCTCATTCTCAATATATCTGATTAAGAATTTAAAAACGCAAACTATCGTCTTATGCAGAGTTATTCATCATGAAATCTGATACATGTGTTTCGTATTTTTTTATATTGTAGATCCCACATGGATGGACTTGTGAAAGTCCCTGTACCAGCTGTGTCATTCACTTCTATTACTCTTACTAATTTGTCATTATTTATGTTTCATGGTGATTCATAGCCAAGAATGTTTATCTGTAGTTTGGATTTTTGTTGATGTCAGTTGTTTGTTCATATAATGATGATGGGCCCCATTGTTATATGAACCCACCTAAAGGTGGTCAACTGATACTCACAGAAGATCAACTCTGCACTAAGCATTCTTTGAGTGATAATATAACTGGAGTATTCAAGTGGTCACTTTTCCTTCGCACGAAGTTACAATAAGAGTGCATTGTGAATTTTATTCGATTGAAATGGCGGTTCATGATTTAGGAGCAACTTTGATCTATAGTCAACATGGCGACTAGACGTGTTTCGTGTAGTTCCGCCTCAGTTTTATTTATTTTGATTTGGTTTTTAATTTTAAAGATATTTTTATTCATCAAATACTGGATAACAGTAGAGATCGTTGTTTAAACTATTTTTATGTGGCAAAATCGCATTCTCAAACCTGTTTTATAAATATGAAGAATAATGTGTCGTTGCTTACGCCGAACAAATCAAGTAAATCAAGTAACTTTCAATTTGGCTGTGCAATTGTGGTGATGTCTAAACAAGTAATGAGGTCTGTAATATTATCTTTGCTTCATCGCTATTTATTACTGGCATTGGATGGCGACATTCATCTAAATCCAGGTCCAGTTCGTGCACAAAATCTTGTGTCTTCCCCGCAAGGAAATAGTTGTTTTAGTCTACCAAGTCGTGGCCTTCGGATAGGCCAATGGAATGTAAACCGTCTGAATGAAACAAAGTTTGAGCAAGTGCAAATTGAAATCCTTGGCCATGACTATAACGAGGTACGTCTGGATATTTTGATTATAAATGAAACGTTTTGGAATTCGCAAACCTCTACTGAATTGTTTAATATACCTGGCTTTGACTTATATATAAGAAATCGGAATAGTACTTCGAAAACTTTGAATGGTGGTGGTATTGCAATATATGTTAATCGTGATTTAATTGCTAAAAGAAGACATGACTTGGAAACAATCGAGTTGGAAGTTTTATGGTTGGAATTGTGCCCATTTAAGTCGAAGAGAAGTCTCATTATATGTGGCATTTATCGCCCACCAAACTCCGACAAAAATTACGATGTTCAATTGGGTATGAATATCGAAAATGCTTCCATGCAAGGTAAAGAAACGTTAATCCTTGGGGACTTTAATATCGATTATCTTGACACTTATTTCAAGCATCATCGCTTGGTTAAGCATTTGTTATCCTTATCTTTTCAACAACATATTATCGATGCTACACGTCCAATCAGTGGTAAAGTACTCGATGATATTTGGTCAAATAGACCCGAATTTTTATCTCATTGCTCGACTGCTGATATCTTTATTTCTGATCATTTACCTGTATGTTTCTTGCGTCGTTTTAAAAAAAAAAATTTTTGTGGGAAATTTATGCAAACGCATACTGTTATGACTTATCGCGATATGAAAAGCTTTGATGAAGAAAAATTTCGGAGTTCTTTGCAAAATGTGCCTTGGAATACATCATTTATCTTCGATGATATTGAGGATATTGTAATTACGTGGTACTCTCTCTTCAATAGTATACTTGATCAACATGCCCCATTAATTTCTAAGCGCATTAAAAAGGTGAATAAGCCTAAATGGCTTACTGAGGATATATCTTCAATGATGAGAAAAAGAGATATGCTTCTCAAAAAAGCGAAATCCTCTCGTTCCCATGAAGACTGGGAGTCAATTAGAAAAATTAGAAATAAAATAAATCATTCAGTATTTAAAGCCAAACAAGTCTATTTCAAGTCATCTCTTATTGAAAATCGTAAAAATCCTAAGAAGCTTTAGAAAATACTCAAATCTCTTTCTGGTGATACAAATGATCCCGTTCAAGTGAAAGAATTGTTATTTAATGGATCTCTTTTCCATCATAACAAAGAAATTGCTGAAGCGTTTAATCTGCACTTTGCAAATGTGGCTTCTAATCTTTTAGATGATACCACTGTTATAAATGATAACGATTTTTTATCTTTTGGCAATTTGAGTTTAGATATTCCTGAAATAAGTGCTGAGCAGTTTATTCAAATAATTCAAGATATTCCCTCATCAAAAGCACCTGGTCCAGACAATATTAGTGTAAAGATCTTGAAGACTGCTGCCCCAATTATTTCATTGTCGTTGTCAAAGCTTTTCAATCATTGTATTACTTCGTGTCAATTTCCACAGTCATGGAAAACAGCCAAAGTTTTTCCCCTATTTAAAAATGGAAATGCCACAGATCCAGATAATTATCGACCTATTTCTACGCTACCGATAATTTCCAAAGTTCTTGAACGTCATGTCTATAATTGTTTGGTTCGCGAATTTCAATCCAACGACATGTTTTATGTTCTGCAATCTGGCTTTAGGAATGGCTATTCTACTGAAACGGCTCTTATTAAAATTGTTGATCAGATATTATCTGATTTTGATAATGACAATCCTAGTGGCGTGCTGTTTGGAGATTTTAAAAAAGCATTTGATATGGTGAATCATAATCTACTTTTGGGTAAACTTAAAGCCTGTGGTCTTAGTACTAATTCCATCAAATGGTTCAACTCATATTTGTCAAACAGGTTTCAATACGTGTCAGTGAATGGCGTCTCCTCAGCTACAACTATTATTGATCGTGGTGTACCACAGGGTTCAGTCTTGGGCCCCCTGTTGTTTATCATATTTATTAATGATTTGCCTAAATCAATAAAAAACGCCTCAACGAATATTTTTGCTGACGATACAACTCTTATTAAATCTAATCATTACTCAGATGTTTCCTCTATTGAACGCATATTACAAGAGGATACAACTAATTTGAACTCGTGGGCAAATAAAAATTTAATTGTGCTTAGCTCTACAAAATCAAAAACTATGCTTATCACTGGAAAAAGAATTGCAAAGGAACTGGTAAATTCATCTACATTATTGTGTGTTCATATTAATGGGAATATGTTAGAGCAGGTTTCCCACCAGAAGCTTCTGGGAATCATTTTAGATGAAGACCTAAGTTTTTCAAATCATATTGATAAGCTATGTTCCAAACTAGCCAAACGAATTGGCCTTCTTAAAAAGTTAAAATATTATCTACCATTGGATGAACGCATTGCGTTTTATAATGCCACTATTAAATCTGCTATGATGTTTGGTAGCTGTGTTTGGTCAAATACAACAAAAGATAACTTGGATCAAATTACAAAATTGCAAAAGAGAGCAGCTCGCGTAATTCTAGATGCCTCAACACGCGATAGAAGTATTCCACTCTTTTCCAAATTGGGCTGGATACCTTTTAGTAAGGAAGTGGAAATTAGAAAGGCCATGATTTGTCATAAACGTTTCTATGGTAACTGTCCATCTTATATTATTGATATTCTACCAACAAATGCCAGTCGCCACAATAGAAATACTCGTTATAAAGACTTAACTATTTCTTTACCCAAAACGAAGAGACAAAATGATGGTGGGCGAGCTTTTGCTGCTAGTGCAAGTCGATTTTGGAACAGTTTACCTCTTACTATGCGTAAACTTTCATCAGCTACACTTTTTAAAAAGAAACTTTATGATAAAGCTAATTCAGATATGCTCATAGAATAATTTATTATTTAGTTTTTTAGTATTTTTAGTCTTGTGTAATTCTGGTTTTTAAATTGTAATTAATCTCGTAGTTTGTTAGTTTGAGGGCCACAAGTTTTTCACACTTGTTGTGTCACGTGTTACCCTCTTTTAATAAAGTTTAATCAATCAATCAATCAATCTTTATTGGTTGATGATGGCTACTTCGTGTATGAAATGGTATAAACATATTTAATGGACTTCGCATAACGGCATATGTACGTATGAACATTATCATTGAAGTGATTGGACTATTCTACAAAGATGGAAAACAAGCTAATGGAAAAACACGATCCATGTCTTGTGGTTTGAACGTTTAGTAGATAAGTGCTGTATGAGTAACTGCATGAGAAAGTTAAAAAGGGATCCTGGAGGTCTATTTTTATAATTTGAACCTTAATTATGAAAAACATTCTCACTAGGAAAAAATGTCAACAACAGATGTCACTTGCTTTGAGAAAATAGCTGGCTTTCAATTGCTACTTTTTCTAATTACATTAAACGTTTCTAAGGAAAATTGCAACGCTGCAAGTAGGGTTCATTGAATTTTAAAATAAAATGTTACAACAAATTTCTATGATATACACGTAAAAACTGCGCGGTGAGAGAAAAAGGAAGAGATCGCTCATTTTTTAAAGAGTAGCTCTATGTTTCTAGACCTACTAACTGGACAATGAATGAACCGAGCAAGTCAGAAAGAAGTACCCTGAAGCAAGCGTCCTTACTGAAAGATTCACACTTGCGACTTTAGTTATGCATAATGTTCACCAGTATAGCACATTTTCAAATTCCAATATCCAAGCTTTCCTTTGATTTGACGGACAATGGTTTTTATTCACTCTTACACATTCTGCCTTTATAATTAGTCTATCTGTATTTCTAAAATAATATTTACAAATGCCCCAAGAGAATCTTTTTATTTTATTGCCTCTCTTCTACAATACAATACTATGTCCGACTATTTGATTGCACGAATTTTGTAATTTGATTACGTTTTTTTGACACGTGTGTTTACCATCGGAAAGATGGATTGCTTAAATTTACCTAGTTGCTTAGACTAATTGGATCCATTGTTATCCTGTAATGTATACCCCTGTGAAACACCAATGACCATACGTAGTTTGTCTTCTATTACCTCTATTCTTGTTCTCCACTTCATCATATATCCATATTTGTTGCTTTTTAGGTCTCAGTTCAACACAACCCTTGTTTGAAGTTCCTAAAACCTTGATCTACCCAAGAAAGATCTTTGGTGGTAACATGTTAGGTATGGCTAGTGGTTGGTCATCGTCATTCGAGCCTTGCGACACCAGTTCAGTAGACGTTAATTGTCCTGAAGACGTTGAGGAGGTTGCTAGGAGCTTTATTTATAATTGTCACATAAAGACAGGGTCATAAGAAGTTAATTGAAACATTGCTTGGTTTTTTTATGAGAGGAAACAAAAAAACAAAATTCGAAAGCAAAAAAAACCCGTTTTCGGCCCATGCTTCCCGATACCTCCTTAAGCTCAAGGCACTAGAACGCCGCATGTTAACGTTTCGGTAGGAGATTTCGGCCCCTCCACGCTATCCTACTTGGGAGATGCCAATAGCAAGCTTCCGCCCATCAGACCCTGAGATCACCTGCGATAGGCTTTGCTCAGGAACGCAGGGAGAGTGCGGTCGCCACCGAAGTGTGGGCCCCTAAGCCACTGCATACTATATCGCACCCAGCTTCCACTGCTAGTTGACATCTATTATATGAAGTTTAAGCTTTATAAAAATATAGCAAAATTTTAAGGCGTACGAAAGTTGTGGGATGATTGTTATCGTTACTGCGCATGCGCAGAGGATTTCTTCGATAATCTGCGACTAAGTGAGTTAATTGACACAAATGTAGTGCAAATACGTATAGTTGGTCGTTGTCATGACCATGAACAACTACTCGAATGGACTGCGCATGCTCGAAAGCAAGCGCAGAGGATTTCTCTATTAAATTGTTACTAAGCATGCTATTTACTTAAAAATTGGTGCTAGTAGATGCAGTTCATCGTTGCCACGACCATGAACTTGTGTATCTCGTCAAGTTTATTGCGCATGCTCAAGCAGACTGCGCATGCGCAGATGATTTTCGTTAAAACTTGTGACTGAGCGAGCTGATTACTCCAAAATCGGCACTAGTTCATCCAGTTGGTCGTTACCATGAGCTTGGAGAGTTAGTGGTGTTGACAACACATGCTCAGATTCTCAATTAATTTGTGACAGAGCGAGCTCTGAAATTGGTACTTGTAAATGCGCTGAGCAAGTTTTCAATCATATATTTTTGGAATGCTCTTTGTCTTCTTAATCTAGTTTTGACAAATGCATATGAAACTCATCGACACTTTGTTACGTTACTCGTAATATCCGTGAAATCTCTATAACTTAATGCTTGTATATTGCATGTCATATTCAAGCTTTCCTTTGATTTGACGGAAATGGTTTTTATTCACTCTTACACCTTCTGCCTTTATAATTATTCGATCTGTATTTCTAAAATAATATTTACAAATGCCCGAAGAGAATCTTTTTATTTTATTGGCTCTCTTCTACGAAAACAATACTATGTCCGACCATTTGATTGCACGAATTTTGTAATTTGATCACGTTTTTTTGACACGTGTGTTTACCATCGGAAAGATGGATTGCTTAAATTTACCTAGTTGCTTAGTCTAATTGGATCCATTGTTATCCTGTAATGTATACCCCTGTGAAACACCAATGACCATACGTATTGTGTCTTCTATAACCTCTATTCTTGTTCTCCACTTCATTATGTATCCATATTTGTTCTATTTTAGGTGTCAGCTCAACACAACCCTTGTTTGAAGTTCCTAAAACCTTGATCTACCCAAGAAAGATCTCTGGTGGTAACATGTTAGGTATGGCTAGTGGTTTATCATCGTCATTTGAGCCTTGTGACACCAGTTCAGTTGACGTTAATTGTCCTGAAGACGTTGAGGAGGTTGCTAGTAAAGCGTCGCCCAAACCAGAAGTTAGTTTTCATGGTATGCTAACGGATTACGCGAACGTTGTTAGCAAGAAGTTCACATCAAATATTTCTGGTCTCGTTCCATCGTCTTCTGAGAAGGTTTCATGTTCATCCTGTATCTTTCTCTAATGTTACAAATGCTTAGTTTTTAATGTTTTTTGAAATTGTCGTTTTAATGACTATTATTTTAGAGCATATACATTGAAGAATCTAGTGGTAGTACAGGTATTTTTAAGATTTTTTTTCTTGAAAAACTCTCCAGTTTCAATTCTTCAACATTTCTCATCTTTATTTTCATCTTTAGTTTAGAATCCTTTCGATACGAGGAATGCTCGGGATTTGTGGTACTTTATACGATATATTGAATTTAAGTTTTATAGCTTTAATAACTCTTATCTTTCCATGGTAACTTTACTATAATTCTATGGATAAATTATGTTTTTATACTTAATAGATTATTGGTGATCCTACTTCACCTGAAGATGTTCAGCAAGAACGACGTATGAAGATACTGTCGTTAATTAACAATATAGCCCGGGAAAAAGGGTTAGATGGCCAAAATTATAAATCAGTTCTATTATCAGGACTGTTAATAGAACATCTTCCTCTATGATCCTCAGTAACCAATTCTGACAAATCCACCTCCTCTCTCTCAACATGGCCAACCTTTTATTGCTCCTACAAAAACTATCATAAAAATCAATAAAATGATAATAAATATTGAAACGTCTAACAGCTATAAGGCCGTTATTAGGTGTACATTGGCATCATTTAAAATTACCAGGAAGAAAATCACAAATAAGAAAAGATTATCGATATTACCAATGACACAATAGCATAACTTAAACGACCAAAGTACAACGTATGTATCTCCCACGACTACCAGCCGACATTTCGTACCCGTACTTTAACGGCTATTAGCCACATCTCATAACACGAATGGAGTGCCATTTTGCTCTTCTTGTGGAAATGAACTTAGCACAACAATAGCAGACTGATGTTTTGTCATCGGTGTGGAAGAAGATTTCAATATTTAGAATTGTTTTGTCCACTATGTGGCACACAGCGGAAAAGCGACCAGCGTACTTTTCCAACATTTTCTTGCGAGAAAAATGCAATAACACATTATTTTAAAAGGGCATTTAAGTATGCCCTTTTAAACCATCGCGCAAATTTCGCGATAATGATGTTTATTGCATCGACAATCAGAAGCGTCTGGGAATCATTTTAGATGAAGACCTAAGTTTTTCAAATCATATTGATAAGCTATGTTCCAAATTAACTAAACGAATTGGCCTTCTTAAAAAGTTAAGATATTATCTACCATTGGATGAACGCATTGCGTTTTATAATGCCACTATTAAATCTGCTATGATGTTTGGTAGCTGTGTTTGGTCAAATACAACAAAAGATAACTTGGATCAAATTACAAAATTGCAAAAGAGAGCAGCTCGCGTAATTCTAGATGCCTCAACACGCGATAGAAGTATTCCACTCTTTTCCAAATTTGGCTGGATACCTTTTGGTAAGGAAGTGGAAATTAGAAAGGCCATGATTTGTCATAAACAATAGGCCTTTTGCAGCTAGAGGTCCCGTGCTTAGAAACCGCTTAATAGCGCCATACTGGAGAGCACGCTTTCCATTACACAATGGCGAGTACAAGGCAATTTAATATGTAAAGTAAATTTTCTTTGTTTTTGTGGCGATTTCGGCTAGACAACACTAACATGGCGTCGAATCAAGGTATGTGACAAGCAAAATTTTTCATCAATTCTTTTTCTTGACTTTTAACTGAAAAGGAGTAAATTTTCACTCATTCTCGAAGATTCCGCAAGTGTTCAAAATAAACTTCAGTGCTCAGCGACTTTAAAGCCAAAAAAAAGATCAATTTACCACTGTTGTGTGCCTCTATGTAATGGAGATTCCAGATATCACTAAGACCTGAAGTTCCATCGCATTCCAAGTGCCAATGACGGCAAAGAAACCCGTAAACTTTGGCTGGTCAAAATACAAAGAGACGAAGGGCCTGATTTGAAGGTAGCTTTGTATTATTATAAAAAAAGCTCTTGCATATTTCTTCAGTGAATCTTAGATAGTGCATCATTTGTAAATAAATACGCACTAATGCTATGTTTTGTTTTAACTTTATAAGATATCAAGCAGTACAAGGGTTTGCTCGAGACACTTTTTAGAGGACGATTACCTACCTCCTGATAATGCAGGACGGTGTTTATTAAAAAAAGGGTCTGTTCCCAGCCAATTTGACTGGTCTTCAATGACTCCAAAAAGAAGAAAACTAATTCGCACTTGTACTGGGTATGCGGAATTGTCAATAATAAGTTTATGTTATCGCCTTCACCTGTACCTTGTTTCTTAATGATTAAAATGTTATTTGCTTTAGAGAGACACAAACTGAAGAAACTGCAATTGAAGAAACTGGCAGTGAAGTGTGCACAGTCGATCCTTTGCTAAAAATGCAAGAAGAGTTGGAAGGATTAAGATTGGAGGTAATTCTGAAAACCCAAGAATTAAAAAAAAGTAAGGAAGAAACAGCTTCTGTTATGGAAGAAATGAATGCATTCAAGGCCCGAGCACATAAAGAAATTGAAAATACCAAGAAGGCTGCCGCCGAGGAGTTAGCACTATCCAAATTTGGCTTAGAAAGATTTTCAACTAACAATGACTTAGTCAGATTCTACACAGGATTTGTTTCTTATGAACACATTAAGGCTTTTTATGAAATCATAAAACCCACTGCTGAGAGAATGACCTATTGTTATGCTACAGGAGATAGAGAAAGTCGTCCAAAAGCACGAACCATGCTAGTTATAGACGAGTTGTTTATGTTCCTGGTTCGTATTAGATTGGGCTTATTTGAGCAAGACCTTGCTCACAGATTTATAATACATATATCCACTGTTAGCCGAAAAATAGTTACATGGAGCAATTACTTATATTTCATGTTGGGATGTCAAGTAATCTGGCCTTCTAGGGAAAATGTCAATAATTACATGCCCCAGTGTTTTCGTAGGCTTTACCCAAGTACTAGAGTTATAATAGATTGCACAGAAATTTTGTACAAACTCCCAGCTCCTTATTATTACAGTCACAATTATACTCAAGCTATAAAAGCAACACTACCCTTAAAGGTTTGGTTGGGATCTCTCCTCATGGGGCAGTCTCTTTTGTATCTGGGTTATATACTGGAGCAATCTCAGATAAAGAAATAACTAGGTGTTGTGGCATCTTAGATTTAATTGAGGAGGGAGATTCAATAATGGCAGACAAAGGTTTTGATATAGAATATCTGTTATTAGAATAGAAAGCAATACTTAATATTCCCCCCTTCTTAGAGAGTAATGTTCAGTTTACTCAAAATGATGTTCAAAAAACCAAAGAAATTGCAAGTGTCATTACATACATGTGGAAAGGGCTATCCGAAGGATAAAAGAGTATCATATTTTTGATTCTGATATACCACTTAATTCATTGGGGTCAATTAATCAAATATACACAGTTGCATGTTTGCTTACCAATTTCCAAGGCCCACTAATTTCTGATCCTAGTAAGAATTAACAATTGTAAATATTGGATTACAGTTGTCTTTTCAAAAATAATTAAATGTAGCTAAAAAACATGTAACAGACTATGACTATGAGAATAAAAGAGATTTTCACAAAATTGTAGAAAATTATCCCAAGTTTACGACAATCACTTTAAAAAATATTGAAAATAAAAACCATCAACCTTATTTTTTGCCTCTTGAAAAAAGTCTTTCTTAAATTTAATCCTATTGCAAACAAAATGTGTGTCACTTATGTAGCTAAAAAAGTCACACCACTCAAGACCTGTCAAAGCTAACTGACACTGTACTTGGTAAAAGTAAATATCAGTGTTCTTCAAAATAAAGTCATTTGTAGCCACATTTTTTTGAAAGATATCTAACATTAGCAAAGTCATTTTCACCTTCCTTGACAACTTTGATTTCCAACAATCCAAAAGGGTTGCAACAACTCTCAGCTGCTTGTAGGTCATATACCAATCGGTCTGGACTGCAGCCCAACCAAGGACATCTGGGATGAATAATTAATCCAGAAGGAAATAGATTCACAGACCCATTCTTAGCAACATTAGCATAGGCCATTGCAGCTGTAGATTCTAAATCAATGCCTCTTTTCATAGCTGCAGTTATGACATGACGAGATGGATTGAGCTGTTTTACAAGATTATCAAAAGCCCTCGACCGTCTTGCAACAATCCCAAACTTACTTGCTGTGATTCTTTTACTTCTTAACATATGCCACAAACTGTTTGCACTTTGAGTGATTGTTTTCTCTTGGATATCGAGTGACTCTTCTTGAGTAATCATTATAGCATCTAAAGAAGCTTGTTGTTGCTTTGTGAGACAACTGGAACAATTATTCTTAAATCTCATTTCCGCTGAAGCCAATGGTAGTGTTGGAAAGTTGGTACAACTGAAATCATTGATAACATAGTCTTGAGAGAGCTTTTGCTGGTAAGAAAGAACACATCCTTTAGGAACTTCTCCAAATTTACTTTGCACAAGTGGGATACTTGCAAGGTTCTTTTCACTTGGAAGTATACTTGCTATTAATGGTTTGCTTTCAAAATCATCAAAATTTTCTTTTGTCATTGGTAAATAAACATTTGAAGGTGAATATAGTGTGCTTTTAATAAATTTGGTGAAATTAGCCCCTGCTCTTGGTTTTTTGACAAGCACATCTTGAATCTTCTTCTGTTCTATCTTTTTTCCTCTGGGTACACTCCATCTTTGAGGCATACTAGTGCATGTCAATGAATCGGGCAATGAGCGAAGACCTAGCTGTTTGCAATGGGCTAGAAAGAACAGCAATCCAACGACATGATGGCAGTATCCCCCAACACCAGCTACACATGAACACCTTGCAGAAATTGAACTGTTAACAATGTTGATCTTGGTTTCAAGTACATGTGGAGGCTCATTTTTCTTCATTGATCGATAGCATCGAGCATTTATGACAGCTAAATCATCCTTGGTTGTAACTGACAAAAGAATATTAAAATTTTTATGAGATCAAATTAATCACACTCTGAAAGTAAGCTTAGTAACTAAAGAAAACGCGAACAATGATTGGCAATTTACCTTTCATTTCATGTAAATATCCAGGTTCAGCAAAAAACTTGTAGGCCTTTGTGGTACTCTGACATCCTGACAACTCTTTTGCATACTTCTCGACAAATGCAAAAGTCAAAATAGGAAGAGAACTTATGTCTTTACTTTCGGTACACGAATCATCTGGAGAAGCATCCATAAAAACATGAAAATACATTAGATTAATCATTAATACCTTCCCGAAAGCCAAATCTCCTACTTGTGACTCATTTTTCGATTAAAAAAAGTCAAGAAAAAGAATTGATGAAAAATTTTGCTTGTCACATACCTTGATTCGACGCCATGTTAGTGTTTTCTAGCCGAAATCGCCACAAAAACAAAGAAAATTTACTCTACATATTAAATTGCCTTGTACTCGCCATTGTTTAATGGAAAGCGTGCTCTCCAGTATGGCGTTACCTAAGCACGTGACCTCTAGCTGCAAAAGGCCTATTCTATGGTAACTGTCCATCTTGTATTATTGATATTCTACCAATAAATGCCAGTCGCCACAATAGAAATACTCGTTATAAAGACTTAACTATTTGTTTACCCAATATGAAGAGACAAAATGATGGTGGGAGATCTTTTGCTGCTACGGCAATTCGATTTTGGAACAGTTTACCTCTTACTATGCTTAAAACATTCATCACACTTTTTAAAAAGAAACTTTATGATAAAGCTAATTCAGATATGCTCACAGAATAATTTATTATTTAGTTTTTTTGGTATTTTAGTCTTGTGTAATTCTGGTTTTTAAATTGTAATTTATCTCTTAGTTTGTTAGTTTAAAGGCCACAAGTTTTTCACACTTGTTGTCTCACATGTTACCCTCTTTTAATAAAGTTTCATCATCATCATCATCATGGGTACATAAGTAAGATTTAAGTCACAAAATATCTAAAAAGGTTGAGAACTTCTTCTAAGGTGCCTTAGAATTTGTCAATAACTTTTCTGTACGTTTCATAATGCTATCGAACAAACCGACAAATCATCAAAATATAGAACTTACTTATTTGAGAAATATGTCTTACGAAAGCACAAGCAATATTACCGAAATTTCAAAACTGTCAACGACGGTATTGTCGAAACAGCGAATTTATGTGGATGGCTGTTTATCAGACAATATTTCGAGCTGTTACCGATGGTTTTTACATACATGCACCGATAAGATCTTCGCTATATTTAGTCAGTTTATAAATGATTATTTGCTTTTCGATTTATCTCTATTGTTTTCGTAAAAATCTCAATGGTTTTTATTGATAGTACTGATTTTTGGTTTGATTTTTCAATGTGACATTGGTCTTTGCTATGCAATGAATACAATTACACTAAATATGCCATCTGTCTCGAACACTCCATGTAGTTGAGTGCACAGAGGTACAATTTTCACAGATTGTGGTGTAGACTTGCAATAAACGGGAGCCGTAATTGTCTTTTGCTCAAAATTTTACGACTCCCTGCGATATTTTTAGCAGTTGAGAAACCTCATGGCAAAGAGAATGCCCTTAAATTTTCTCCGAAGATTAAAATAGCAAGGTATAGACTACGAGATTTAATGAATAATTGGACAAAATTAAAGTCTACTTTCTAAATTGATTATCGTGTCATTAATCTTACCCTACCACATCATGTTTCGTTATTTTGCATAACGACATTAAAACGCAAATATCTGACAATTCTTATGAATTTTTTTATTTAAACGCATTGAAGGATTACTTATTGTCTTTATGAAAGGTGACAAGCTCCTAAAGGGCCAGTCAAAATAGAAAATTTTAGTCATGACGTCAATTAAAGAAATGTCAACATATTTAAATTTGTGGATTTTAACTTCAACTTCAACAGAAATTTAGTCACTTTAACTTTGTAGAAAGAAAGGTAAATTCTGTTTTTTTACTGAGTAAGTAAGTATGAGTTACTTGGAATTATCAACTAGTCTTAGTGTACTTTTCGAATTCGAAATATGAAAGCTTTCACTGTAAAATTCTTTGATCACGATGTTAAGCCTTTGATCGTTTGAAATTTCTTGTTGCATCGTTCAAACTCAACTGACTAAAGCTACTCGTGCAATGTAGGTGAATGTTCTACCATTTGGATAGTCTAGCAGAAAACATATAACAATTTTCTTATTCTCAACATATCTGATTAAGAATTTAAAAACGCAAACTATCGTCCTATGTGGAGTTATTCATCATGAAATCGCATACATGTGTTTCTTTTTTTCTTATATGGTAGATCCCACATGGATGAAGTTGTGAAAGTCCCTTTACCACCTGTGTCATTCACTTCTATTACTCTTACTAGTTTCTCATTACTTATGTGTCATAGTGATCCATGGCCAAGAATGTTTATCTGTAGTTTGGATTTTTGTTGATGTCAGTTGTTTGTTCATATAATGATGATGGGCCCCATTGTTATATGAGCCCACCTAAAGGTGGTCAACTGATACTCACAGAAGATCAACTCTGCACTAAGCATTCTTTGAGTGATAGTATAACTGGAGTATTCAAGTGGTCCCTTTTCCTTCGCACGAAGTTACAATAAGAGTGCATTGTGAATTGTATTCGATTGAAATGGCGGTTCATGATTTAGGAGCAACTTTATTGGTTGATGATGGCTACTTCGTGTATGAAATGGTATAAACATATTGAATGGACATAGCATAATGGCATATGTATGTATGAACATTAAAATTGAAGTGATTGGACTATTCTACAAAGATGGAAAACAAGGGAATGGAAAAACACGATCCATGTCTTCTGGTTTGTAAGTTGAGTAGATAAGTGCTGTATGAGTAACTGCATGAGATAGTTAAAAAATTACGATTAGCCGGAGGTGACGCTTGCCATCTTATTGAAAGCAATAACGCTAGCTCTACTTTTCTTATGACTTCAGCTCAGCAAAGATAAAATCCTATAGTAAATTCTATAGTATGAAGAAGTTATAAGCGCCAAAGTCTAGGTCTAAAACGCAAAGTCAAAATAAAAACAGAAGACGCATTAAGAATCAAATTTTTGTACCTAAGGTGGATATTATAGGAAAAAAACACAAGACCGAATTTAGTCGTCTGTGTATTTA